GGTGAGTGATCACACCATCATGGTTATCTGAGTCATTAAGATCTTTTTTGTATAGTTCTTCTGTGTATTCTTGCCACCTGTTCTTAATATCTTCAGCTTCTGTTAGGTACACACCATTTGTGTCCTTTATTGTGCCCATCTTTGCATGAAATGCTCCCTTGGTATCTCTAATTTTCTTGAAGAGATCTCTAGTCTTTCCCATTCTATTGTTTTCCTCTATTTCTTTGCACTGATCACTTAGGAAGGCTTTCTTATCTCTCCTTGCTATCCTTTGGAACTCTGCATTCAGATGGATATATACCTGTCCTCTTCTCCTTTGCCTTTGGCTTCTCTTCTTTTCTCAGCTATTTGTAAGGGCTCCTCAGACAACCATTTTGCCTTTTTGCACTTCTTTTTCTTGGCAATGATTTTGACCACTGCCTCCTGTACAATGTCAGGAACCTCCACCAATAGTTCTTCATGCACTCTGTCTATCAGATTTTATCCCTTGAATCTATGTGTCACTTCCTCTGTATGGGCGTCCCTGGTGACTCAGAGGTTAAAGCGTCTGCCTGCAATGTGGGAGACCTGGGTTCGATTCCTGGGTCGGGAAGATCCCCTGGAGAAGGAAATGGCAACCCACTCCAGTGCTCTTGCCTGGTGAATCCCATGGATGGAGGAGACTGGTGGGTCCACGGAGTCGCAAAGAGTCAGACACAACTGAGCGAGTTCACTTCACTTCACTTCACTTCATTTCTGTATAATTGTAAGGGACTTGATTTAGGTCATACCTGAATGGTCTGGTGATTTTCCCTGCTTTCTTCAATTTAAGTCTGAATTTGGCAATAAGGAATTCATGATCTGAGCCACAGTCAGCTCCTGGTCTTGTTTTGCTGACTGCGTAGAGGTTCTCCATGTTTGACTGCAAAGAATATAATCAATCTGATTTCATTATTGACCATCTGGTAATATCTATGTGTAGAGTCATCTCTTTTGTTGTTGGAAGAGGGTGTTTGCTATGACCAGTGAATTCTCTTTTCAAAACTCTGCTAGCCTTTGCCTTTGCTAATCAAACCAGTAGGGTATATCTGGGATTTCTCACGTGAAGCGACCTCTAAGCTGAGATCTGAGGCTAAGGAGGCTTTAGCCAGCAGAAGAGGAGAGTGGAGACAAATCAGATACAACCAAAGGAAATATCCTGTAACCAGGTTCATCCCTTTGGAAAATACAAAGAGGAAATCCCTTACCCTGCAGTCTGTCATGCCAGGAAAAACTTTGTGAAATTTACAGGACAGTCATAGACAGTATGTACACGAATCCCTTCTGCCCTCCTTGCTCCCACCTCAGGCATATGCTAATCAGCAGTCCCCTAAGAGGAGTCATATTATTACTGTGATTTCTATCTGGAAAACCACAAAGAAGAAGAAAATCATTAGGCAACGCAATTTAAGCATGCATTTATTTTATATGTTCTTTTTAAACTTTTGAAACATTTTTCATTCCATTTCCCAAATAATCCATTTTTCACTGGATAAAATTCAAAAATTAGATGTCTGCGCCACCTGGTGAGCATATATGGAATGGCAACTTGGCTGTCACAGCAGGAAGCCTTGGAAGGAGGAAGAGAACAACGTGCCCATCACACGGAAATTTCTGGAAGATTTTTGTGGCAAATGAAGCATTAAGGGTGAGTCAGAGACCATGTACATTAAATATAGGGGAAAGAACTTTTCTTCAGCCCCTCCCTCCAATTATGACAAGAAATGTACATATATATGTGATTGAGAGAAGGGTAATGCAAAAATATATAAATTGAGATATATACATTTAAGTCACATATGTATGCATTATCTTTGCAATGAAATTCCCACCCAGGTATGTATCATAATGTTATAAAATTTTAAATCAGCTATTTTTCTGATTTCAAATTAATATTTTTATTTTGAAAGCTAATGAAGTTCAGGAAGGTGTATTTATTAGAAAACAATATTATTCTATATTTTTTATCTTCTTACATAGCAAGATGTACACCTTTTGTAATTTAATTTACATTCCCCAGAAATATTTCTCTGTGTGAAGTACTATATAAACAGGTTTACATGAACATATATATTCTTAAATTTTTTCTCACTATATATGTATATATACACACTGTTCTTCATATGTTATATAATGTTTATGTATATATAAAATGCATATATAATTATTTAATCTTTATAGGTTTGTAATGCATAGTTCTTATTTAAATTATTTCAATAGATTTGAATGACACACTTTTTACTAATCAGATTTATTTATATAAGACAATATTAAAGTTGCTTATAAAATGCTTTTCCTATAATTCATATGCCTTTATATATGAGAATTTTGGAGGGAATAAAGGTTTTTTTTTTTTTTTAACTTCGCCTAAATTTCTCTAATAACTTTGTAACAGAGTTAAAAGCTTTTCTTGTACCACATATCCAGTTTTTAGTTTTTCTAGTGTCAATGCCATGCTGATACAACCCTCTCCCCCATATCTTGGTCTTGAAGATGATGTAAGTGAAATCCACTCCTTGGGTATAGGGCCCCAGGGATTGACCTTTGTGAGGGATTTGCATGGGGTTCAGGTCGAAGCAGAGGGAATTAGCCTCCATGAAGGGAAGGAAATGATCATTTATGGAATTATTTTAGGTCAGATACACTTTACATGGTATCTCGTATAAGCAAACAAATATTCAAATATTTTCCCCATTATTCATCAATGTAGAATTTGGTCTAAAGTTTTCTTACATTTTGTCCTGAAGTTCTCAAGGCTTTGAGTCTAGAATTCCCAGTGGACTAATAGTTGATGCAATCCTATGTATTATACATTTGTTTCCATTATAGATGTATTATTCTTAAATTTAAAAATCTATAAATCTAAAGAATTTTTGTACTATCAAAAAAATACAAAGATTTAAAAGCTGAGAGTCAATATTTCAAACAATGCTACAGATTTTGTGCTTATATTCAATAATTGAAAGGACTTTTACTTATCAGTGGAAAAAGGGACAAAAGACAATAGCAAATAACTCACCTAAAAAGCAAAATGCTGTCTCCAAAAACATCTGGAAAGATGACCAACCACAATAACTGAGGAAATGAAAATCTGGAGTTGTCTTGATAAGTGAAAAACTCAATTTACAGAAAACTGTGCACATTAAATCACTTCAGTGGTGTCTGACTCTGTGTAACACTGTGGACTGTAGCTTGCCAGGCTTCTCTGTCCATGAGATTCTCCAGGCAAGAATACTGGAGTGGGTTTCCATGTCCTTCTCTAAGGGATATTTCCCACCGAGGGATCAAACTTGTGTCTTTTATGTCTCCTGCATTGGCAGGCAGGTTCTTTACCACAAGCGCCACCTGAGAAACCCGCAGAAAACTGTATGTATGTGATTGCAAATTTTAGAAGGATGTACAGTATCTAAAATGACATAAATACACAAATATTTTAAGTTAGGCATACACATTACTTAAAGAGTGCTGCAGTCCATGGGGTCGCAAAGAGTCAGACGCTACTGAGCGACTGAACTGAATTACTTAAAGAGAAATACATCTGGAGTGTGAACACCAGTCTTTTTGCATTGAATATATTGGGACCTGCAAGTCATGGTGAGGGGATCATATATATGGAATGTGTAAAATAATTTCATTTTTAAGTATAGATTATTAAATGTTTGATATGTTTTAATAAGGAAAGTTTGTTTAAACAATTGAAAATAATAACCAAATGACAAAAAAGTTCATGTATATGTATCATGTTGTCAAAATGTTCACATGATACTGTTTTATAAAAAATAAAATATTTCAGCTTTTGACTTGACAGTTTATCTGTATTGAGTGTGATTTTCTGTCTTATGCTTCTTTTACCTCAAATGTTCACACTCTCACATGCAGATTTTTCTCCACCTCTCTGTGGCTGGACTTCCTCTTTCAGGAAGGACAGAGATCCAGGAAGGGGTTGTGGGCAAGCAGTGGAAAATTCCAGAAAGTAGTGGAAGATCCCAGAAGTTTCTGGCTGGTGCACTAGAGCTACAATTCTGGTTCTGGCCACTAGGGTCATCTATCTACATTGACTATATATCATATATTATATAGGCTTCCCAGGTGGTGCTAGTGGTAAAGAACCTGCCTGAGAATGCAGAAGATGTAAGAGACATGAGTTCAATCCCTGGGTGGGGAGGATGCCCTGGAGAAGGGCATGGCAACCCATTCCAGTGTATGTTTCTTCTCTCTCTCTGGTTTTTTTTTTTTTTTCTTGTTGTTACTCTCTCTAAGATGAACTGGTATTAATATCAGACATTTGACTACTATCACATTTTGTTACTTTGTACCAACTTAACCAAGAATTTAGTGAATCTGTGCATAGGGAAATCAACCCAATTCCTTGGAGCTCAATTCCAGTCTCTATTGATCCAGGTAGCATCTGAATGACTCCACAAGCTCCAGCACCTCGGTAAGCCTCAGCAACCTTGAAAAGTTGGTTCTGATATCAGAATCTCCTTGTGAGGAATACATGGAAGAACAGATGCAATGTAGCAAGTACAGAACTTTTCCTACCTCTGGCACTCACAGTTCTCTGGGTCTGCAGAATGAAGGAACACAGTGTAATGTAGCAGATGCAGAATCTGGCATAGAGAGTTCTCTGTGTTTGTAGCTATAAGTACCTGGGTCCCCAGTGCCTCCTAACACCTCTGTAGGAGTGGTTTAGTTGGAAACGGTCCCTGGGCATTAAGCTGGTAGAAAACCCAGAGGGCTGTTACTATAAGAAGTTAAAGCTCCTCTGGCCCCCAGGGCTCTCCTCCTCTATGCCCTCGGGGAAAGGACTTCCTGTAAGGACTCCATCTTGCTTGGCATTGACAGAGAGTTTGGGGCCTGCTCTCTCTTTCCTTGGCAGCCTTCCTTGATATTCTCCAAACCTCCAGCTCCAGACCCACGCGTTCTCTTCTAGAACAGTCTGTGAGGACAGCGGTGACAAATCTCTGCCTTCAGGTCACTCCATGGGTGAGTCAGTCTGCATGAGAACTTCTTTTCGGATCTCCACAGGACAGGAGGGTTGCTGGGTTCCCTTCCCCACTACAACCCACAGGACCCCTAACCAGCCAACCCTCCTTTAGAGAAAGGGGAGAGAGGGCCCAGGCTGACTGTTTTCTACTCTCCTGAGGAAATGGGCCGAATGGGCTCTGACACACCCGTCCTGATTGCAGGTAGAAAACTTACCTTCTTATGGAAATGGCCATGGCTGGGTGATTTTTTTTCCTTTGCTAAGGAAAAGGCATGAGTAATGTGATCTTCTTGGGTCTAGGGTTTGGAGAGTGGGGATGGTAACCTAGGTGGAGGGTGGAACTGTGTAAACTAATGTTCTTTGTATTTATACTAGAGGTGAGGGAGGGGCGGAAACCCCACCATTGCTACTGAATATTGCATTAACTAGTCAGGGTAAATTGTATTAGTCCTTAGAAGTTTTTGAGACTTGCTTTTGTGCCTAGCATATGATCTATTCTGGAATGTTCAGTGAGTATTTGCTATGTGCATTGTTCTATGTCAATTAAATAAATTTGTTTATTTAAGTCACATTTAAAAATCCTCTCCCTCTAGCTGAGTTTTTGTTTGCCATTTTATGTGTCACTCAGTGAGATGTGTTAAAGTTTCCCACTGTGACTGTGGATTTGTCCATTCCTGCTTATTTCTATCAGGTTTTATTTTGCATATTTTGGCTCTATTTTAAGACATGAATACAACTTTAGAGTTTTGTATTAATATCTTCTTATTGCATTGAACCTGTCATCATAAAGAAATCTCCCTCTTTTTCTTATAATGTTTCTCTTTAAACTGTACCTTTTCATTTACTAATATGGTTATACCAGTTTTCTGTAGGCTAATGTGGACAAGATATAAATTTTGTCATTTTTTATTTTCAGATTTTCCTGATGATTAAATTTCACATGTTTCTCTTTTCAAGAGTGTTTGATGAAATGTTTCTTGTCCAGTCTGAAAATGTATGTCTTTCTATTTAGAATATTTATCCTGAATCTTTTAATGTAAAAATAGATATAATTTGTTTTATGTGTATCATATTGCTATGTATTTATTTTTGCTGCTTCTAAGTTCCTTTTCCCTTCCTTTGAAATGGTTAATATTTTGTAACTATTGAATTCTTAATTCATGCAGATATCTAAACATTCTTTTGCTATTCTTGTAGTGCTTAGCCTTCATATTACAATGTGCATTTTTGCCTTTTAACAGTCTGGTGGTGGTGCATGGTAAGTCGCTTCAGTTTTGTCCAACTCTTTGGGACACCATGGACTGTAGCCTGCCAGGCTCTTCTGTCCATGGAATTATCCAGGCAAGAATACTGGACGGGGCTGCCATTCCCTTCAGCAGGGTATCCTTCCAACCAAGGAATCGAACCCAGGTCTCCTTAATTGCAGGTGGATTCTTTACCATCTGTGCCACTAGGGAAGTCCTTTCACAGTCTAATATTAGTTAATTAGTTCTTTAAAACTCCTCAGACAATTATGGGACCTTGAGACACTTTGATTCCACATACTCTCTCCAAATTTATTGCCATTCATTTTCATTCTGTATATATGTGAACCCCCAGAAAATATTGCTATCATCATCTTATATAGTTTAAATTTGCCTACATATTCACAAATGACATTAGTCTTTCTTTCCTGTATCTATGTGACTCCACCTGGGATGATATTTCTCCTGCCCAAAGAAGAGCCTGTAACATTACTTTTAGTTTGAGTTTTCTGGTCACAAAATTTCTGACTTTTTGTTATATTATGGTGAAATGAATACATTTTTTAGGAATGTTTTTCCTTAAATTTTTTCTCCAACTAACATTGTTATCCTAAGTTGATATCTTGTTACTTTTGGAAACTTCTCAACCAAGTTCTCTTCAAATATCAGTTCTCTACTTTTCCCTCTCCTTCTCTCTGAGATTCACATTAACCATGTGCTCGGTATACTCACTGCATCTCCTTTAATTCTCTACACCTCACTTTTGGTATTTTCCATATTATATGTGGGAGGAGAAGGGGACAACAGAGGATGAGATAGTTGGAATGCATCACCGACTCAATGGACATGAGTCTGAGTAAACTCTGGGAGTTGGTGATGGACAGGGAGGCCTGGCATGCTGCAGTCCATGGGATCACAAAGAGACACGACTGAGCGACTGAACTGAACTGAACTGATATATCTTTTCAGGCTCCATTCTGGATATTTTCATCAGATTTACCTTTCATTTCTCTAATTCTTCCTCCAGTGAGGCAGACCAGCTTTAACCCTTGAACATCATACCAGGGTAGATTTCAGGGTATGTTTTATTGTCCCCCTAGAGCAGAGCAGAGAAGTAAGACTTGGAGATTAAAAGTCACTTGTCCCACGTCACCTAGCCTGAACCAAGTAGAGCAGGATCTAACATCACAGACAACACTCTAGATCCAGACCCTTTCCTCTGTGCCTGTTTTCTTCTTAGCTGTGAATGCTCTGCACCTCTCATTTCCTGACTAGTGGAGCCACAGTGAAGTCTCTCAGCCTTTGTTTTTAGCACTGTGTTGCATTTCTGTTTAGATTTTACAGTCAGTGATATTTTTTCCTTAGCCATGCTATTTACCCAAGACTTTTGGTATTAAGACCACTGACCTGTTATTGTCAATTTTAGAGCACTCTGATAAACTGAACCCTTTACAAAGAAGAGCACGAAGCTGGAGGTTTTACCGAAGGCGAAACAACTATTCGTCTGAACATGTCACTTCCCAGCAGCAGCAAGATAATGATTCAGGTGATGTTCCCATGGATGTCCAAGCAAGATAGTAAGTGACCAGTCAGCATGGCTGACATGTACCAATCAGTAAACAACAAAACCTTGTAGTTAAACATGTTATTCTTCTCTCCAATCTGGAAGAATAAGGAATGATGGGATCTGGCTAATGTTTAAGCAATCTTTATTGTAGCTGTTATCATGTGGGAAAATGTGGAGAAGACTTTCTAAGTCTATATGGACCACTTTCTTCTCTCCACTTCCCCACAGTGCTCCCTATGCTGTTCCACCCCATCATCAGAGAAGCAGTTTTCAGAAACAAGACCAAATGCATATTAATATGGAGACAAAGCAAAAGCCTCCAGAGAGAAAAATGGAGAGAAACAGACAGGATGAGACCTTGGGGAGCTGGTTCAAGATCATAGTGAGTGTTCTGGCTAAATGGACCTAATATGTAGAAGATGACAGAGAGAGTCATGTTGGATTTGTGTAGAGATGCTGAGAACTTTTCTGGGGCAGTGGTGTTGGTAATGTCTTCTTATTATTAGGGACTATCTTCCTAGATTATCTAAGGGCAAGTTCAGAGAAGCAATAGAAAGGAAACAGACTGACTGCAAGGAGGAGCATGGGAGAGATTGTCTAAAAGCAAAGTAGGAAACCTACTGCCAGGGAGATGAAGCACTTCACACCAGATCACACAGTTTGGCTCAAGCTGAGTGTGGGAGGATGTTGAGTCTCTGCAGTCCATGTCAGAGTGGCAGGCCAGGTCTATCTCACATGGATCTCTTGGAACTTTATAAAAGGAAATGCATGTGAAACATATTAAGTTATTTTTTTTCAGGAAGAGTATATGATGGAAAGAAACTATATTTAGCAAATCCATGCCTTGTACAAAAGTTAGCAATAACAGATATTGTCCTATCTTAATAATTTATTTAAAGCCTGAAAATAGGTCCTAAAATAAGACACAGTTGGGTCTTATCTTAACCTTGGATTCTATTGCATCAATTTTGTTTCCCATTTCTTCTTTGGCCTCTAGATTCCCTTTGGTGTAAAATATGATGAGAAGTGGCTGCTGAATTTGATTCAGAAGCAATGCAGTGTCCCCTTCATTCCAGTCGAAGTAAGACAGGACATGGAAATGATGAGACGAAATGGGGTAAGTGGCAGGCCCTGGTAAGAAATGGCTCTGGTCTCATATTTTGCTTTTCTTGTCACTCTCCCTACAGTTTCACTATGAGAAAATGCAGGCCCAGTTCTTTGTAGAGAATGCCAGCATTGCCTGTGCATTGAAGAATGTCAATGGCAAGATTTTCAATGAGGATAATGAAAAGGTATGTGTCAAGGGCATGAACAGGGCTGAATAGGGGCAAGAGGGAAGGAGAAGGGCATGGTCTTGCTTGATCCCATGCACAGATTTCCTGGAGCTTACCCAGCCCCTCTTGTGTTCTCTACAGATATTTATCTTTGTTGAACCCTGTGATGCACCCCCATCTGTGCAGAAAGCACTGAAGTCTGAAAAGGTGGAGCAGAGGAAGGTAATGCAGACTCAACACAAGCTGTGCACTGATACCCAGACCCACCTCTTCCCCCCACTCACCCTCAGACACAGAGCCACTGAACCCCATCCCTAACTCTGAAGCTGACCATGAACAAACCATATGATTTCCACCAGCAATCTCTTGACATCCAGAGACTCCTCTTTGGCCCTGATATGGCTATAGTAGTAACTGTAGGACAGGTGAGGGTAGAAGGTCTGTCTGGGAAGGACACTCAGAGATGATATCATGGGGATGGGGTGGTGCTGTAGGTGCACCAGCCAGGGCCCTCTCAGCCTGTGTTTCCCTCCTGGTTTCCTGGAGACTTGATGATCTATGATATTGGAATGACATGGAACCATAGAAATGGCATGCCTGCCTCCCTGCACATCCATCCAGGGATCAGGTCCAAGATGAAGACCTAGGCCCAATGTTGAGGCTCGTGGTGAGGATTGGAGAGGTCAGATAGAAGAGGCATATTGGTCTCAGATATCCCCTTTGGAGTCCTCACTCTTCTTTCTTCATCATAGCTTTCGTCCTTGGACCAGAGCAACAAAAAACCCTACATGGTGCATAGCCTGTCCACCATTATGGATAATGCTTCCCACACCAAGAACTTGAATCTTTCCAACACTGAGGTAAGGTGGAACACTCAGATCTTCCTTTAAAATGGATGTGGGAAGGCTTATGGGATAGTGACAGATGACGGGAAGTGGATTTGTAGAGAAAGGATGGGTGTGGATGCAAAGCCATCTAGTCCATGTGGGTGCTCCCCTTAATTCCAGGTGAAGTCTGCTGGGGAGATGGACAAGGGTCAACAGCTGGAACCAGAAGGGATGTGGGTTGACAGAAGTGCCATCTGCACCACCTCCCCTGATAAGTCAACCAACATAAGGTCTCTCTCTACCTTGTTTCTATACCCTTCTGTCTCTCTCATCTCTCACCTCTTCCCTCCACTCCTTGTCTGTCTTCATCCCCCTCCCTCCCTCCTGAGTCCCACCTCACTCACCTCCCTGTCACAGCCTCCTGGGTCATCCCTGAGGTTTTTCCTGACTTGACAGAGTGATGAAACCCCTGTGAAGTAGCAAAGCCCTGGGCTCTCATCCCCCACCCCCCCCATTTCCTCTTCTCTCCACAGACTTCACTGGGTGGTGGAGGAAGGAAGGAAGGGAGGGGAGGAAGACCTCCAGCAAGGGTTTGAATTGCTGGTCTTTGTGGCACTGGAGAAGGGAGTCAGGACATTCTGGCTGGTAGCTACCCAGGGGAAATGAGCAGGAAGAGGGAGTGGGAGGAAGGGGTGGAGGGAGCAGTCTTCCTCTGGGTCAGCCCATGGAGTGGTGACCAAGGCTCTGGAAGTCTAGGATACTGCGTAGTGGGCAGGGGGGCACACAGAGGGCTGTGATTGCTGTAAGTGACTTGCTCCCATGAGGAGGGTCACGTCCACATTTTCACTGGCTTTTCTCTTTTGTCTTGATTTTGGCAGCACCATCCTGGAGTTGTTCCCCAGGTTACTAAGCTTGGTAAGCGTATCCCTTGATCACAGACTCCTCTAACTAGCACTGACAGTGCCCACAAACTACTCTGAAACCCATTAGGACCTGTCCGAGTTCCATTTTTGAACCTGACCCTTACATGTCCTGCGGGAGGAAGAGTGTACCATCCTCTGTGGGAACCTGAAAAGGCCTTGAATCTTCTTCAGCCATGCTCTCCACAGGCTTCGGGGACCCATGAAAATGACAGAACATGTAGTCCTGCCCCTGGCCTTTCCAGGACCCTTTCTCCTCTGATTTCAGACCCCCGCCCCATCCTGGGCCCATTCTTTTCCCTGATTCAGCATCACATCCTGGACTGCCTTGCTGACTTCCTCTTCCCTCCCCTAGGATGGCCAGGAGACACCCTCAGGGCCTAAGTGTGCTATTGAAGCCCCCAAGTGCTTACCAACATGTAAGGTGAGCATGGAGGATCCAGCAGGGTTCTAGGTGGTACACGAGGGGGTGTCAGCCCTGGTCCTGAGGACTGTTTTGATTCTAGGGAAGCTTCTTTGGATCTGATGAGCTGAAGAGTCTAATCATGCAATTCCTGCAGCAGTAAGTACCCTTGGGAATCTGAGCAAGGGGAGGGCTAGTACAGGCGAGGCCACCCAAATTCAGGTCTGCTCATGGGAGTTTTCAAGTCTCCTTTGAGCTCCATATCACAGAGCTAGACTGTACTCACTGTTCCTCCTCAGGTATTACTTGATCCATGATTATGGGGACCGCCAGGGACTCCTGTGTGCTTATCATGAAGAGGCCTGCTTCTCCCTGACCATTCCATTCCACCTCAAGGACCCAGGCCCGTGAGTATCACAGCCCAGATTCCTCCCCAGGAGCATCTGGTTCCCCAGCAGATGCAGGCCAGCTCCTGCTGACACCTGTGCTGGTCGAACCACCACCCAAGTTTCCTCTGTGTCTCCTAGAAGCACCATGTGTGCATACTTCAAGAACAGCAGGAATATGAAGAAGCTCAAGGACCCCGGTGAGTGTATGGTGGGAAAACTGGGCAGGAAAGGGCAGTGAATAGAAGATTCATAGGGTCCCTGACCTTTGCTTGCTTCCCCTCCCCCACAGATATGCGGTTCCAGCTGCTGAAACACACAAAATGTGACATTGTGCGTGCCCTCTGTGGGTTGCCCAAAACTCAGCATGACTTCAGGTCCTTCATGGTGGACATGTGGTTCCAGACGGTGGGCACCTGCTTCCTGCCTTGTTGGGAGCAGGGGTGGGAAGCTGCAGATGGGGAGGAGTCAAGTTGGGGGGTGACTGAGTACCTGGGCTCTTCCCTTTCAGGAATCAATGCTCTGCTTCTCTGTGAATGGGGTGTTCAAGGAAGGTGAGTATTCATAGATCCCTCCCGGACGCTCCACTGTTCCCTCCCCTGACTGGGCTCCCTCCCTCTGTCCTTCCAGCTTCCCTCCCCTCCCCTGCCTTCCATTCCATCCCTTCCTCTGGACTCCCCTCCCTCCCCTTCTCTTCCCCTTCTTTCCCTCCCCTCCCCTCCCTTTCCTCTCTGTGATCTCCAGCCCTCAGCCTTCCCACAGACAACCCAGGTCCAAACTGCGTCCATGTCTGCCCTGTTCACTCTAGGCATTAGGGACACAGGCTGTGGAGCTTCATGGCTCCCATACCAGATCCTTACACTGAGAACTTGGGCCAATACTTAACCTTGCAGTTTCCCCATATACCCACATCTTGGGCAGTTAAGAAAAATGTATCCCATGAACTTGTGAAGTGGTTGTCATGGGGACATGTTACTGGGAGCAGACTGCCCTCCAGTTGCCCTACAGTTGCCCTCCCCATTCCTAACACCCATGCTCCCCAAGTGAACAACTGACCCCTCAGCATGAGTGACAAGTCAGACCCTGACTGGGGACCCCTGTGGGCACCTTTAAACACATGGAGCTTTAAGAGAGTACTCTTGTTTATTGTTTGTTGTTGAAGTAGAAGGAAGGTCTCCTGGCTGTGTGCGTGCCTTCACCCGGACTTTCATCACTACTCCTGCCACCCCTTCCAGGTAAGAGCCCCATCCCGTAAGGGCGGGATGGCCCATCCAGCCTGGTCTCAGGGCCCTGGGCATGTGGTGGTGCAGACCTTAGGCTGACTCAGTATCGTGGAAAGCCAGCAGGTAGTTCCAAGGGGCAGTCTAGCCTAGTGGTTAGGAAGAGCATGGGCTTTCTCCTTGAGCAAATGGGTTTTCTCCTTGACCCAAAGCTCATTCTCTGTGTGACCTTGGTTAAGTCAAAGGGCCTCTCTGTGACTTGGTATCTTCTTCTGAAAATGGGGATCAGAATGTACACTTCTGTACTGTAGTGTACTGGGCTGCTGTTCAGGGTAGATATGAAGTTGTCCCTGGGTTGGGAATCAGGCTAATCATTGAGTGAAGCTGGTAGACAATCTCTCTGAAGGTGGGCTCTGTACAAGGGGCAGAAGAACCAGTCAAGGAGCCTGGGGACAGACACAGGAGGGGGATGGAAGGAATCTGGTTGCTGAGTGCCAGTGGGAGCAGATCATTGCTGGGGGTATGGGTTGGTACATCTGTCAGTTGTCTAAGAGCCCATATTTCCTCCAGTTTTAGTATTGTGAATGATAAGCTGTTTGTGAGTGACTTCAGCCCCAAGAAGACTGAGCCTGTGCTCTTCATCCCAAAGCCTGAACCCTCTGTCAACTCCATGCCCACCTTCTCCTTGGAGCAACAGGAAATGGTGCAGGATTTCTCCATCCAGTCTGGGATGAACTTCCAGCAGTCTCAGAAGTGATGCTGAAATCATAGTGCACATACATGCACACATATACTCATTGCCTTGGAAAATCATTCATTGTGTTCAATTTTGTGGGGAGATGAAGTTTAATCAAAATGTGATTGACAGCATATCTGTGTGTGTATGTTTCTTTTTCTAGGTCTCCTCTAGCCCAATCACCCCCTTCTCACTAGTGTAAATTTGTCTTCAGCTCAGATTCCCACTGGATTCCAATCTCAGGATTCAGCAATCCAGAAAATGATAGATAAGGAGGGATTGCTGCCAGGTGGTGAAAAATTCCAGAGAACTCTGATTGAAGCCATTATAACAAGATCCCAAGTTCCATCCCTTCTTTCCCCTTGCTGAACACCCTTGTCTGAGGCTCCCATAGCTGACATTCTTATCTGGCCACCTGGTTCCATCCATCTTTATTTTTAAGAAAAAGAAGTACATTTTGCAAAGAATAACAGATGTCTTGGAATGGCTTATTTAGTATGAATCCAGTTCTGTTTGGAAAATTCTATGTATATCACAGCAATTCTATCTGTTGTTGACCCCAAAGCTACATCACATTCACTGGTGTATCTCTTCCCCCATCAATGTAGGTTGACTTGTTCCCATTGTAGAGGGTCCCTCCAAAGGAGCAGAGTGTTTACCTCCATCACCTACCTCTGTATCAGCTGCCCAGTTCTCCCACACCCTGTCATCCCATTATTGGGACACTGGATATAGCTGTCCAGACTTCAGTCTCTGCCCCATTCCTCTTAGAACCCTGTGTTTCCCTATGCTGCTGACTGCCGATACACTACTGCTACCTGGTGATTCATCTTATGCAGACTCTGGAGTATATTTTACCAGCTTCTTTAACACCTATCAGATTTCCTTTTTCAAACAGAATTAAAATTACATTATACTTAGTTCAATATGCTGGCTTTTAAGGGAGAACATTGTATTTTTTTTCTCTTTAAATAAAATTCTTTGTAGAGAACTTGGGTTCTGGAGTTATGTTGGTGCTACCTCATGACAAGCCTGACAGCAGCTTGAACAGGCAGAGCAGGCAGGTGGGAGGGAAGGTCTATGTGTTGCCAAAATTCACCAGACAGAGCTTTCTGGAATTTTTTAATAATGGTTAAAGTCATTATACCAAGATCCGAAGTTCCATCCCTTCTTTCCCCTTGCTGATCATCCTGGTCTGAGGCTCTCATAGCTGACATTCTGATCTGGCCATCTGGTGTATAAAGAGAGAAACCCAGTTACAGGTACACTGAGGTATCCAGACAGAAAGCACAGCCCCTCTCCATGTGTTAGCACTCTATTCACTCTTTGATTTACTTTCTCTGCAACCTCTCACAGATTTTTCACTAAGGGCCTTCTCCTCACTGACTGATGAACTCTGTTCATCAGCTCAACACAATACTGTTCTGCCAAGTTTACCCCAAATTTAACATTCACCCTCACTATCTTTTCTAAATTTTTATTTGTGGTTAAAAAAAAGCATAAAATATGTTTTCTACCTTAATCACTTAAACATTTTAAAGTGTGTAGTTCAGTAGTATTAATTTTAACAATCTTTTCCTTTAGCCTTTATATTAAGTGGTTAATATCCCAATCTGTTACAGAATTAGATTTTTCCAAATATGACTGTATATTTACCTTTACCAATGCATTGTATGGTTTCCTATGTTTTTATGTCACTGGCTAGCATCTTTTTCATTTCAGCATTAAGAACTTCTTTCAGCATTTCTTGCAAGGTAGGCCTAGCAGCAATGAACTCCCTTAACTTTCATTTGCCTGGAAAAGTCTTCATTTTTCCTTTATACCTGAGGGATAACTTTGCTGGATAGAGTATTCTTGGCTGAATTTTTTGTTAACAATGTAAATGTATCATTCCATCCTTTTCTGACTTTCTGCAGAGCAATATTCTGATAGCCAAATGGGGGTTCCTTTATAGGTTACAATCTTTTTATCTCTGGTTGCTTTTAGGATTCTATATGTTTGATTTTTTTTGACAGTTCATTTAATGTGTCTTGGAGAAATCTTTTTTGCATTGAGATAAAAGTGATTAATTAGCTTCATGAACTTGGATGTCTAAGTTTCTCCTCAGGTTAGGGAAGTTCTAATCCATTTTTTAAAATAAACTTTCTGCCCCTTCTCCCTTTCTTTTTCTTCTGGAATCCCAATTATTTAACATTTTACATTTTGTAGTCCTCCCACCCCCCACCCTGGTGGCTCAGATGGTAAAGAATCCGCCTGTAATGCGGGAGAGTTGAGTTCAATCCCTGGGTTGGAAGATACCCTGGAGGAGGGCATGGAAACCCACTCCAATATTCTTGCTGGAGAATTCCATGGACAGAGGAGCCTGAAGGGCCATGGTCCATGGGTCTGCAAAGAGTTGGACATGACTGAGCGCGGCTAAGCACATAGATCATTCATCCTTTCTTATGGTCTTACTTCTTTGTTCTCTGTTATTTCACATTTTCTGTCCTTCAGATCACTTATTATATCTTCCATTTGGTCTACTCTGCTGTATATATATGTTGTACACACGTATATATGCTGCATATATATGTATATGCTGTATATATATATGTATATATATATATAGCTATATACATATAGTTAATCACATTTTTCATTTCATTAATTGAGTTCTTCTTCAGAATTTCTAGAATCAAAGAATCATTAAAAAATGATTTCTGTTCTTCTGTTAAATTTCTCATTTTTCTTATGTGTTGTTTTCCTGTGTTTTACTGAACTGTCTTTCTGTGCTTTCTTTGTTTCCTCAAAACTGCTGTTTTGAATTCTTTATCAGCTAGATCTAGGTCATTGAGTTTGATAACTGAAAAATTTATCATTGTCTTTTGGTGATGACATGTTTCCTTGTTCCTTCATGATCCTTGGATTTTTGTTGCTACTTTCACATTTGAAGTATTGATAGCAGTCACCTCTCACAAACTTTATTATCTGTATTCAAGTAGAATATTTTTTTGTTGGTCTTGCTTGTATCTAGGGTATTCTCAAACCTTGTATGGAGACACCTGCAGAATTCTTAACCTTTTGTGTTCTCTTTGGTTCTTGCCAGGCTAGATGCTGGAAAACTCTGTTTTATTTTCCACAAGGTGGCATTATAACTCAATGTGTATTTTTTTCCCTACCTGAAACCCTGGTTTGTTTTTCTGAAAGCACTCTGTTTACTCTCACCTCTGCATTTGGAGGTGCACACAGGGAGCCATTTTCAGAATGAGGGAGGTGTGAGTTTAGCACTCAGTATTGGGAGAGCCCACAGACCTAGTGGGGGGAATCCTTCAGTGAAGTTCTCTCAGAGGTTTGTGGGCCAACTTCTGCCCCTTTCCCAAATATATTTCCTCTCCTGAGCCATTGGTGTCCAACCTCAGTCCTATAGGTGCTGCTGGTAAGAAATGCATCCCACAAAGCTGAAATAACCTGGTACTCACTCACTACTCTTCTTTTACCCTATGAGAGAGGTCACGACCAACTGGTTCATCCTCATATTGTTTTGCCTTAGGGGATGAGTAGCATTCTTAAAGTTCCTCTTATCTTCTTGAATGCAGTCAAACTCAAGGAAAAATATAATCATTTAGAATGGTAAATAACTTCTAAGCAGAGTACTCCTTATACAAGAAACTATTGTTCACTAATCTAGTAGCTCATATGGTAGATAAGAACTGCTCTAAGCTGAAAGTTTTATCACTGTTTTTTTCATGGTATTAAAGATTTTTTGTTGCATTTATTTCAAGTTGAAATATTTCCATAAAATAAAACAAGTTGCAAACAATGGTGATCGTAAAATATGCTTTAAAATATGTAACAGTAAATGTAACATATCAAGTTCAAAGCTTGATAAGATTTTTGTTCAAAAAAGAATTTGTTTTCCCTCTATGAAAGTCAGTTTGTCTTGATAACATAAGGAAGAATTATTTTAAAATTTTCTTCCAATTGAGACAGAAACAAAAGTAAGTGTGACAATTTTCTTAAATCTTAAATGCAATGCAAAAGATTGTGTTTTATTTACATCTCCATCATGCAGAATCACATATAAATTTGTGAACACATAGAAGCATCTCACTCCTTTTATTTATTTTTCATTTATTTTTATTAGTTGGAGGCCAGTTACTTTACAATATTGTAGAGGTTTTTGACATACATTAACATGAATCAGCCATGGATTTACATATGTTCCCCATCCTGATCCCCCCTCTCACCTCCCTCCCAATCCCATCCCTCTGGGTCACGCATCCAACCTGGGCTGGCAATCTATTTCACACTTGATAATATACATGTTTCAATGCTATTCATTCAGATCATCCCACCCTCGCCTTCTACCACAGAGTCCAAAATTCTGTTCTATACATCTTTGTCTCTTTTTCTGTCCTGCATATAAGGTTATCGTTACCATCTTTTTAAATTCCATACATATGCGTTAATATACTTTATTGGTATTTATCTTTCTGGCTTACTTCACTCTGTATAATGGGCTCCAGTTTCATCCATCTCATTAGAACTGATTAAAATCTATTTTTTTAATGGCTGACTAATATTCCATTGTGTATATGTACCATAGCTTTGTTATCCATTCATCTGCTGATGGGCATCTAGGTTGCTTCCATGTCCTGGCTATTATAAACAGTGCTGCAATGAACATTAGTGTGCACCTGTCTCTTTCAGATCTGGTTTCCTTAGTGTGTATGCCCAGGAGTGGGATTCCTGGGTCATATGGCAGTTCTAATTCCAGTTTTTTAAAGAATCTCCACACTGTTCTCCATAGTGGCTGTACTAGTTTGCATCCCCACCAACAGTGTAAGAGGGTTCCCTTTTCTCCACACCCTCTCCAGCACCTATTGCTTGTAGACTTCTGCATAGCAGTCATTCTGACCGGTGTGTAGTGGTACCTAATTGTGGTTTTGATTTGCATTTCTCTGATAATGAGTGATGTTGAGCATCTTCTCATGTGTTCGTTAGCCATCTGTATGTCTTCTTTGGAGAAATGTCTGTTTAGT